CCAGGGAACGAGGAAGCTCGGGGAGGGGAGGGAGTGGGCCGAGGTCCTCGGGACGCGTCCGCCCGGGGCCTCCTCGCCCGGACCTGGAAGGGACGGGAGGAGCCCCCGACCGTCCCCTCCGCGGCCCCCCGGCCAGCCCAGGGTTCTGATGGCGCTCGGTGCCCGGAGCCTCTCCACCCAGGGGCGGTGGCCGGTCTGAGGCACCCCCGGGGCGGGGAGGCTGGACGGGGCTGGCGGGCGGCGGGATGCCCGCACCCCCCGGCCTCCCGGGCCTCCCCACCGTGGGCAGCGCCTGCCAGTGAGAACTGGAACTGTGAGCTTCGTGTTCTGCCAGCCCCGGGGCTTGAACTCAGATCCTGGGCGCTGTCCCTGAGCTAGCGCTCTACCACTGGAATCACAGCTCCACTCTTGTCTTTTGGCTGGCTCATCAGAGATAAGAGTCACGGACTTTCCTGCCCAGGCTGGCTTTGAACCATGATCCTCACATCTCAGCCTCCTGAGTAGCTAGGATGACAGGTGTGAGCCACTCTGTGGGGGGGGGGCATGTGAGTGCACACTAGCACTGGGCTTGAACTCAGGGCCTTGTGCTTTCACTTGGCTTTTTAGGCTCAAGGTTGATACTCTACCACTTGAAACACACCTTCACTTCCATCTTTTTGCTGGTTAATTGGAGATAAGACTATCACACACTTTTCTGCGTGGGCTGGATTCCAACTGTGATCCTCAGATCTCAGCTTCCTCAGTAGCTAGGATGACAGGCCTGAGACACATGGAATTTACTGTGCATAACTTAATGACTTTTTTTTTAATAAAAGAACTCCAAGGATTAAAATGTTTCTCCCTTTTTCTTTTCTCTGAGACTTTGGCAAAAGTTAATCCAAAGAGGGAGAAACTGTTAACTTTATACCTAATTGAAAAGACTTAGGAAGCTGAAAAACTAGGAGTGAGAAATGTACTCATTTCCTGATCTATGTAACTGTAACCCTTCTGTACGTCACCTTTTCAATAACAATCAAAAAATGTTTAGGGCTGGGGTCATGGCTCAAGTGGTAGAATGCAAGGCTGAGAATTGAAGCCCCAGTACCACCAAAAAAAGTTTCCCTGTTGGCCTAGTAATTCTTTATTTCTTCCTCTCCTTCTTTCTTTTTCTTTCTTTTTTGTCAGTTGTGGGGTCTGAATTCTGGGCCTGGGCGCTGTCCCTCAGCTCTTCAGCTCAAGGCTAGCACTCTACCACTTGAGCCACAGCCACTTCCGGCTTTTTCTGCTTATGTGGTACTGAAGAATCGAACCCATGACCTGATGCATGCAAGGCAAGCATTCTACCATTGGGCCATCTTCCCAACCCAAGGCCTAGTAATTCTTCAAGGTCTGTATTAATGGTATCTTTTGAAATGAGAATGAAAACTCACAGAATTCTTTATTATAATGTTTTGAAAATATGTCTACAATTAGAGGAGAATACCAATACAAATGCATTTATACAGTTTTGATGGGAAAGTACAAATGAAATTGAAAGGACAAAAAATATAAATATAGGATATGAGTTATATAGAAGGACTAAAATAAAACAGAAATAACTTCCAGGTGCAGAGATTACTAAGGATTTTGTGGAGCTTTAAAAAAGCACAGTCACTCATTCTGTAGCTTCTGGGAAGGCTGAGATAAGGAGATAAGATTGAGGTTCAAGGTCAACCTAGGCAAAGATTTCTTGAGATTCCATTTCAACTGCAAAAGCTAGGCATGGTGGTATACTCCTTAATCCCAATTATGGCAGTTAGCTTAAATAGGAGGATTTTTGCCGAGGATACCATGATGTCTATATTACTTTTTATGGTGATAAAATATATATAATAAAAATCTAGCATTTTAACCATTTTCAAGTGTACAGTTCAGTAGCATAAAGTCATGCAATTATCCCACTATTTCTAGAAATTTGTCATCCTAAATTGAATGGGGGGGAGGTGCTGGTTGGTGCTAGGGCTTGAACTCAGGGTCTGCATATTGTTCCTCAGTTTTTGTGCTTAAGGCTGGTGTTCTACCATTTGAGCCATACCTCCACTTCTGTTTTTTTGGTGGTTAATTGTGGATAAGTCTCATAGACTTGCCTGAGCTAGCTTTGAACTGCAGTTCACAGATTTTAGCCTCCTGAGTAGCTAGGATTATAGTAGGCATGAGCCACTGGTTCTCAGCTTATAATTATTTCTTAAACTTTGAGTCTGTGGCAGATCTTTATGATAGACAAAGTAGTTGGTGGGGGGGGGGATGAGTGGAGACATTTTCAGGAACTTCACTAGATCCCTGGTTTACAAATACAGAAAAAGTACAGACTTTTGAGGAGTAAACCTCTGTCGAAGTGGAAAGTAAGTAAAATATTCAATTTCTGGCTTTGCTGTCTTTAATTAAAAACAAAATCTTTTTCATATGCTGATTTTCTGTGGCTTCTTAGCAACAAAGAACAAAGATGTCAACCCTGAGGGTTTCCTGTGGGCCTGGAAGAGGATACCCCAAGTCAAAACATGGAAGAAGGCAGAATATTTTTATATAAACAGTGTGGAATGCAAGACCAGGGGCTATGACAATTCCTTTTCCTTCATTTGGGTTAGGCCCTACTTCCTGTTATCAGATTCCCTGAGTGTTGTGAAAGTCTGCCAGCCCTTTAGAAACTACAAGATGTTATTGCTCTCCTTGCTGTCATTTTCTAAAAGATTTTTCTTCCTCCTGGGCTAGGGCTCTAACCCAGGGCATCATGAATGCAAGACGAATGCTCTACTTCTGAGCCACTCTCCCAGCCCGACTTTTTAAAAATATGATTTTATTCCTATTAAGGTGTTTGTACAGGTAATAAATGGATATTTATTTTGCACAATGTCACTCCTTCCTTTGCTTTCCTCCAGTTTCCCTCCACATAGTGTATACTGAATCACACGAATGCTTTGGTTCACTCTTCCTCCCTTTCTGTGTCCTCTTTGCGTTCCCCTCCCAGGCTATTTTGATTGTAAAAATATATTAGTTCCATGGGGATAAATATATTTCCATATTTGTTTTTCTTTTAAAAATTGTGATTAAGGGGCTGGGAAGGTGGCTCAGTGGTACAGTGCTTGCCTTGCATGCATGAGGCCCTGGGTTCGATTCCTCAGCACCACATAAGCAGAAAAAGCTGGAAGTGGTGCTGTGGCTCAAGTGGTAGAGCGCTAGCATTGAGCTGAAGAGCTGAGGGACAGTGCCCAGGCCCAGGGTTCAGGCACCATGACTGGCAAAAAAAAAAAAAAAAGTAAAAATTGTGATTAAGAATATACATATAAGCTGGTGCCAGTGGCTCACGCCTGTAATCCTAGCTATCAGGAGGCTAAGATCTGAGGATCATAGTTCAAAGCCAGCCAGGGCAGGAAAACCCATGAACTCATATCTCCTAATGAGCACTAAAAAGGAGAAGTGGAGCTGTGGCTCAAGAGGTAGAGCGCTAGCCTTGAGCACAAAAGCTCAAAGACGTAAGGTCCTGAGTTCAAGTTTCAGAACTGGCACACACACACACATGTACATATAATTATAAACTTTATTATCCTAAAACCATCTTAATTACATGCACAACTCCTCTATTTCTAAATAAGGACCTACTCTGCAGTAAACTGCACATGCCTTTCTGAGGGGCACACATTTCAACTCATTACACAGGTTTCCAAACGTTCCTGCTCATCTTTGCTAGGGGTAATCTTAGAGGCTCTTCCCATCACAAATGCAGTCTCCATTTGGAAATGAGTCTACCCACTCCTCCATAGTTATCAGTCCTTCCAGGGCCCTCGCTTTGGGGCTCATTGCTTGCAGGGAAGATGGAAGGTTTCCCTTGCTCTGACCCCTGGCCTCCCCTCTCTCCTCTGCCATGCCCAGCTTCCCACCCGAGGTGGGGAGGAGAGGGGAAGGGAGAGTAGGGCAGGATGGGGTGGTTTCAGCTGGCTGGAGAGCTCTGAGCTCTCAGGACATTGCCTGCTGTCCTTCATTCAGGGTGTCTGGCATTGCTCTGGAGATTTCAACTGCTTTTTGCTGGTAATTTTTAGGACATGGTCTTGATTCTGCCTAGGAGAGTGTTTGGGCAGTGATCCACCAACTTTAGGCTTCCAGTGTAGCTGTGGAGATGGAGTCTCATGGAATTTTCTTCCGGGGCTGGCCCAGAACCACACTTTTCCTGTTCTCAGCCTCCCACATAGCTTAGGATGGCAGATGTGTCCTGTGCCAAAGTATGGGTTAAGGAGGGATCTCAAGTTTTCCTGGCCACACTGAACTTGAACTGCGACCCTGCTATTCTCAGCCCCCCTCTATAGCTAGGATTACAGGCATGAGCTACCAGTACCAGGTTGGGCTCCACTCTTAAGAGTCCACGGGACCTCTGGATCTCTGGGATCTCTGGGAAACATACTCAACCCTTGCTCTCTACAAGTGGCTTAGCGAAACCATCTGCTCTCTGGGCTTCTTCTGGGGAAAGGGGTGGGAAGATGAAACCCTACAGCCAGATGAGGGCTCTCTCCAAAGGAACCCCCCCATTTTTCTCCCTCACTCTGTTGTATTTCTTTACTCTGGCTGAGTTGCTGAAGGAACAGCTCAGCACAACTCCCCTGTAGTCCTGGAGAGGAGCATTTTCTCACACACCATTTGCCTCATGTGTGTGTCATTACTACTCTCCTAGTCTCTCTTCCTGCTCCTGGGACTGGTGAGGCTCCATTTGTACACCTGGAATATTTAATCATTCTTGCTGTTACAACGTTTTACCAACTGGACCAAGAGATTTTAATGTTGGGTTGCTTATGAAATTTGGGTCTTTAGGACACAGATGTGTGAGCATACCTTTAAACAAAGGATTTTTTTTCCCTCCCAGATGTTCTCTTTAAGACAATTATCCATCCTTGAGATAAGTGTGTGTGTGTGTGTGTGTGTGAGAGAGAGAGAGAGAGAGAGAGAGAGAGAGAGAGAGAGAGAGTGCTGGTGCTCAGCTCATGCCTGTAATCCTAGCTACTCAGGGGGCTGAGATCTAAGGATCTGGGTTCAAAACTAACTTGGGGTTCATGAGATTGTAATCTCTAAGGAACCACCAAAAAGTTGGAAGTGGAGCTATGGCTCAAGTAATAGAGTGCCTGCCTTGAGTGAAAAAGTGCCAAAATGCTGGAGTTAAGCACCAGTACTGGCGCGGCGCTCTCTCTCCCTCTCCCTCTCCCTCTCTCTCTCTCTCATTCCAAGTGTTCTTTCCCAGGACAAGTGTCTTAAGATATGCATGCTCCATTCCTAGGGCACCTACTAATTATTTGGGCAAGTGAGCAAAGCCAGTGGGAGAGAGCTACTCTTTTTCCTTTTCACTAGATGTTTTAGCTGTTGAGGGAGACTGAGACAAAGAAAATAGTGGGTGTGTACTTTTAATCAAGCCATTCATTAATGTGATGTTTATCTCTAAAGTCCTGACTACTGGGGTTTGTATGCTTCAGTTCCCCTCCTGCTGCCTACAGACTATAAACAAAACAGCAATGACGTTCCCTGCACAAACTTTCCCTGTATTTTAAGGAAGATTTTTTTTTTTTTTTTTTTTTGCCAGTCTTTAACTCAGACCTGAGTACTGTCCCTGAACATTTTTGCTCAAGGTTAGCATATGGGGGTTGGGGGATGGGAGGGTAGGGTAGGGGGATTGCAGAGGGGAGGGAGGAGTTGGGGAGTGGGGAGGAAAGGGATGGTAGAGGAAATATAAAGGAGGGTATAACAGTACTTGATAGGAAATGGACTCATTACCTGGCTCATGTAACTGTAACTCCTCTGTACAGTATCTTTACAATAAAAATATATATTAAAAATAAAAAAATAAAAAAGGCTAACATACTACCACTTGAGCTACAGCTCCACTTTCATCTTTTTGCTGGCTAATTGGAGATAAGAATCTCATGAACTTTCTTGCCCAGGTTGGTTTTGAACTGGGATTCTCAGATCTCAGCCTCAAGTAGCTAGGATTACAGGTGTGAACCTCTGGTGCCTGTCTTGAAGGTTTTTAATTTTTTTCAATAAAGTATTTAGAATAGTTTGAGACTTACAGAAAACTCGCAGAAGAGCAGAGTCCTACAAATCAGTTTCCTGTTGCATATTTTTCATTAGTAGTAGATTTGTTTGCAGTTAGGAAAGCATATTAGTGCCTTACGTTGATGCTATTGGTATACATTTTGTACTCATGTTATTGGCATTTAACTCATTCAGACCCCTTCCATTTTCTCTCAATGGCTTCCTCCTCCAGCGTCCGGTCTAGGACACCACAGTACATCCAGTTGTCCCCCTCCTGTGGCATATCTTGGCTGTGGCAGGTCCTCATATTCTTCTTGGTTTGGATGACCTTGATAGTTTTTAGGCTGGCCAACGTTTTGTATAAAGTTCTTCCAGCTGTGGTTTTTAGTGTGTTGTGTGTGTGTGTGTAAAACCATGACCCTCTGGTTTCAACCTCTTAAGTAACTAGGAATATAGGTATGAGCCACCAGGGCCCAGCTACAGTTGATAACCTTAACTTTATAAATATTCCAATCAGTTTTAAGTAAAACTCTCTTTCGAGTAAAAAAAAAAAAGGTGAGAAGGAGTGGGGTTTGAGTTCTGTCACCTATGGGCACTTAATCATACTTACATAATAAAACCTTAATAGAAACCCTGGCGAGGGCGATGGCTGGTGAGGCTTCCGGAAGTGGCCCTCCAGATGGGTGTGGCTTCCAGGTGGGCGTGGCTCGCCCACTGATTTACTGCCCCCAAAGTGTGGGCGGTACCCCAGGTGGGAGGAGCCACTTCGCCCTCTCGGCCCCGCCCCCTCAGCCCTGTCGCACTGCGCATCACCGCGGGCGGCCTCCAGGAGGCGCCGGGCCCAGAACACGCTGCCACTACCCTGAGCGGAGGAGGCGGCCGGACCCACGGCTCAGAAGTAAGTGAGGGCTTCGGGGACCGGGGTAGGCGCCGGCGCCATCTGGGGGCTGGGGCCACTTGGGGGTCCGGAGGGCCCGCTCTGGTCTGGGCGCCGCGCGGGAGGCGGAGTGGGAGGCCGCGACCTGGGTGACTCGGAGCCGCGGGGCTGCTGGAAGGACCTCGGGGAGACCGGCACGCGAGAGGGGGCGGGGTTTCCGGTGGGGCCGCCTCTGGGTCCTCGCGTGCTCCGCGCGCCGCGGCCCGCCGGGGCTCGCGCTCCTCCCCTCAGCCCCCCCCCCCTGCAGGGTCCCGCAGCTGGCCGGGCGCATGCGCGCCCACCGCCGCAATCTGGTGCTTGGCTCTGGGGTTAGATCCCATTTTCAAGTCTAAAACCTGCTGTGGCGCGCGAAAAAAGCCCCGGCCATAGTAACCTCTATAGAAGGCTGAAGGCAAACGGGCCAAGATGTCTACAACACGTGTCCCAGTTAAAGGGCTGATGTGGAAAGACCTGAACATTTAACAGAATGGAACGGCGGCTCGGAGTCCAATTTCCGCACTGGCCGGGGCTGGCGCCTGTAACCCTAGCTGCCCGGAGGCTGCGGTCGGAGGATCGCGGTTCGCAGCCAGCCCGGGCGGGAAAGCCCGTGAGACTCTCCACCAACCACCCGCAGCCAGGGGAGCCGTGGTTTGCGTGGTAGCGTCTTGAGCAGAGCCTCCAAGTGAGAGCTCCAGGCCTGAGGTCAGGCCGCGCCCGCAGGTGTGAATGGAGGCTTTGCATGGACCTTCAACAAGGGGAGGATGCACGGCTTCCCTCCAAGGAGAGAGACTTCCTTTCACCCAGGCAGGTCTGTAGCGTCCGGGTGGCAAGAAGGCTGCAGTACAGACCCGGCCGGGGGGCAGCGCGCCGCTGCCGCCTCGCTGCACTCCCGAAGCGGGCTCGGGCCGCGTCTAACCTCGCAGGCGTTCGCCCTGTGCTCAGTGACTGCGCGGGCTGAGAATCTCCCCTCCAGGAGCCGTGTCTGTGTACAGAGTTTGCACGGAGTTACCACATCGCCTGCGAGGGCAGAGCTTTGGAAATCGTGTCCATGAACCCGATGCACCCCATCTGCTCGCTAGGATGAGAGTGCAGAAAGAGCTGGGCGAAGCGACGCGGAGTGACTGATATGTAGAAGAACGTGAATTACAAAATAGCTCTGTTACCAGGCTGCTTTTGTGGGAAAGAGAAGAGCAGCAATTAGGTGTGTGTGTGTGTGGGGGGGTACTGGGGCTTGAACTCAGGGAGGGCCTAGTGCTTTCCCTTAGCTTTTTTGCTCAAGGCGGGCACTCTACCACTTGAGCTACAGCTCTACTTCCAGCTTTTTGGTGATAAATTACAAGTAAATCTCATGGTTTTCTGCCAAAGATGGCGTCAAACTCCAATCCTTAGATCTTAGCACCTTAAGTAGCTAGGATTATAGGCTTGAGTCACAGGTGCCTGACTAATGAAGGAAGGAAGAAAAGGAGGGAAGGTGAGAGGGAAGGAAGGAAAGGAGGGAGGGGGAGGGAGGAAGAAGGGAAGGAAGGCAGGATGGAAGGAAAGAAAGGAAGGAAACACTAGAAACTAACAATTTGGTTACTTGAGAGCTAGGAATGGGGAAAGTCTAAAGTAGCTACATCTAGCCAGGCACTAGTGGCTCACACCTGTAATCCTAGCCACTCAGGAGGCTGAGAGCTGAGGATCGAGGTTCAAAGCCAGCCTGAGCAGGAAAGTCCGTGAAATTCTTATCTCCAATAAACCACTAGAAAACCAGAAGTGGCGCTGTGGCTCAACTGGTAGAGCGCTCGCCTTGAGCTGAAGAGCTGAGGGACGGCGCCCAAGCCCAGAGTTCAAGCCCCATGACTGACAAAAAAAAATAAAGTAGCTACTTCTCCAAGAGTGCTTTTTTGATTTTTAGAAGCGTGAATGTTTTAATATTTAAAAGTAAAGTTGCCAGGTGCAGGTGGCTCACCCTTGTAATCATAGCTACACAGGAGGCTGAGATCTGAGCATCTCGGTTCAAAGTCAACTCCAGGCAGGAAAGTTCATTGACTATTATCTCTAATAAACCACTCAGAAAACCAGAAGTGATGCTGTGGTTCAAGTGGTAGAACACTTGCCTTGAGCAGAAAAGCTGAGGGACAGTATTTAGGCCCAGAGTTCAAGCCCCTTGACCAAAAACAACAACAACAAAAAAAAAAGTAGTTAGACACGCGTGCGTGTGTTTGTAGTCCCAGGTACTCAAGAGGCTGAAGTAGGAGGATGGGCTTAAGAATGGGAGTTTGAGCCCAGCGTGGCAACATAGCAAGATCTATCAAAAAGTAAAATTTTAAAAGTTAAATCAACAAAGATGAGATGAAGGAACCCCTAACATTGACTAAAACACACGAAATGAAACTTAACCTCTATAATAAACTAAGCCCAGAGAAATGGACCCAAGTAACTCTGAAATCTCTGATAATATACCTCCTGTGTATAAGCAGGCAAATAAACTGCAGAAGTTTTACACTTCACTTAGTTGTTATAGCAATCCTGAAAGTATTTACATGTCACCCTGGATGTACATATAAGTAAATTTAATGACTTTTTAGGAGCCAAAAATCTCAGTGGGAAAAGGAGCTACGTGGAGTGAAGGAAGGCAAGGCAGGCTTCTATAGATTTCTATTAGGATTTGTTTTACGATACTATTTTCTTTTCTTTCTTTCTTTTTTTTTTGGGGGAGGTCCGGTTGTGGGGCCTGAACTCTGGGCCTGGGCGCTGTTCCTCAGCTCTTCAGCTCAAGGCTAGCGCTCTACCACTTGAGCCACAGCCCCACTTCCGGCTTTTTTCTTTTTGCTTATGTGGTGCTGGGGAATCGAATCCAGGGCCTCATGCATGCAAGGCAAGTGCTCTACCACTGAACCACCTTCCCAGCCCTTACGATACTATTTTCAACATTTTTATTTTTATTTTTGTTCGGTTGTGGGGTTTGAACTCTGGGCTTGGGTGCTATCCCTCAGCTCTTCAGCTCAATGCGAACGCCCTACCACTTGAGCCACAGCGCCACTTCTGGTTTTCTAGTGGTTTATTGGAGATAAGAGTCTCATGGAGCCGGGCGCTGGTGGCTCACGCCTGTAATCCTAGCTACTCAGGAGGCTGAGATCTGAGGATCGCGGTTCAGAGCCAGCCCGGGCAGGAGAGACCGTGAGACTCCTATCTCCAGTAAACCACCAGAAAACCGGAAGTGGTGCTGTAGCTCAAGTGGTAGAGTGCTCGCCTTGAGCTGAAGAGCTGAGGGACAGCGCCCAGGCCCAGAGTTCAAGCCCCACGACCGACAAAAAAAAAAAAAAAAGTCTCATGGACTTTCCTGCCTGGGCTGGCTTTGAACTGTGATCCTCAGATCTCAGCCTCCTGAGTAGCTAGGATTACAGGTGTGAGCCACCCATACCCGGCTTCAAGTTCTTTGTGTTGGAAACTTCAGGAGCAGGGCTTTACCAATAGCAATAAGCATCCCTCAGATCTGTGTCTTGGTTTCTAAATTCCATAATGCATGAAAGATCAACCCTGAACAGCTTGTGTTAAAGAGCAAGGAGATGCCCAGAGATGGAAACAGGTCAGAAGGAGCAATCTGCACATCAAAATGAATGAACAGTAATGAATGAATAAGAGCAAACAAACTTCTAGATAAATAAATTGAGGGGAGAAGAGCCACATCTTTCCAGTAGGATAAATGTTGACAAAAGAACAATAAACTGGAAAAGTGACTGAAGCAGAAAAAAATGGATGTTTAAACCACTGGGTGAAAAAGAGATTACTGGTGAATAAGATATTACAGTCTCAAAGTATCACTTTATTTAAAGAGCATCACTCTACTAAAAGAAACTGATGCCAGTTTCCCTCTGGGAAGGGCTCCACCCACCCCAGGACCACTGCTAATGGACCCTCACCAGAAGATGATGGTTTCCATGTTTGCCAGCTCTGTGCTGCCTTTGTCTCCATCCTTGCTTCTTCTCTTCTTGTTACCAGCTCAACCACTCTCCTAGTGATGAATATAAAAAATGGACAAGAAAGATCAATCAGCGAGAGAGGTCTTTATTTGGACTGAATGTTGCAACACCAGTAGATAGCAGAAGAGGGCAACTCTTAGAACTAACAAAGTGAGCCAGCTTATGTAGCCAGAAAGGGGTGTGGCCAGGGCATTTGCACCAATCCTGACAGCCCTTTATGAAATGAAGGGCTGTGTTTGTACCACTCCTGCTTTTCTGGGGGAAGTGATCTGCCCTGGATGGAAATGGTTGTACTGTATCAAGACTTGTTGGGGCAAAAAGTCAAGTGCAGACAGTTTGCTAGGCCCTTATGTTTGGGACCTAGAATCATGTTTTGGATTCAAAGTAGTTGGCTAGATGAGGTTAGGTTTGTAATTAATTTTGGTGTGGGTGTGCTGGTTCTGGGGGGAGAACTCAGGGCCTGGCCACCGTCTCTTAGCTTTTTCACTTAAGCTAGTGCTCTACCACTTGAACCACAGCCCCCCTTCCAGCTTTTTGGTGATTTATTGGAGATAAAAGTCTCATGGACTATCCAGCCCAGGCTGGCTTTCAATCGGAATCCTCAGATTTCAGTCTTCTGAGCATCTAGGATTTTAGCTGTGAACCGCTGGAGCTTGGCACATTAGCAGTGCTTTAAGCAGTGCTCTGATGGTACTTGCCTAACTCCTGCCCATATAAGTCTCTGACATCTGTTTCATTTGCTCTGGATCAAGGTCAATTTTCTGGTTTCAATCAGTGCCAAGTGGTTAAGAGATCTGTTCTTAGGAAATATTCCCTGACCCGCTGAAGAGCAAAGGGCTATATTTCAAGCCTTACATGAGCCTCCCATACCTTGAGCATTGAATAAACATACCTCTCAGTGTGGTTGCTTAGTTATCTGTATGTGTATGTGTGTGTGTGTGGGGGGGGGCGTGTGCATACACCATTACTGGAGCTTGAACTCAGGGCCTTGTGTTCTCACTTGGCTTTTCTATTCAA